TTTTTTTTTTTTTTTTTTTTTTTTTTACTATGAATTGTTTATATGCATTTCATTTTAATTAAAAAAAAATAACGGTTTTAATAAATTAAAAAGGTTAAAGTTGTGTTAAAATAAAATATATAACTATACTAATAAGTTTAAAAAGTAATGACAAAAAAAAAAAAAAGAATAAAAGGAAAAAAAAGAAATGTGAAAATAATTAAAATAAAACAAATTTTAATATGGATGGGTAACATATAAAAAAAAAAAAAAGAAAAAATTGATAAAACTTTTTTATTACATTTTATATATTCTTCACTTTCTTGATTTTGAGTTCTTTTGCAATACTTTTCATTAAAAAGTCTTTATCAAAATAATTTTCTTTGTATCTTTTTTTCTTTTCTCTTTTTTCTAAAAACATCTTGCATATCAATATAATTACCACTTTGAATCTTAACGCCTAATATTTTTTCTTTCTCTTTTCTTTTTGATATATATTTTTTCATGGATTTCTTACGGCACATAAGTTCAGGATAATGAATTTTTCTACTTTTGTCAAATTTTCCTCCTAATGTTTTAATTTGATGATTTTCTACAATTTTTTTTTGAAATTTATTTAAAAATGGTAATGATATTTTTCTAATTTCGTGTACTGTTTCCATAAAATCCTTTTTTAATTTCATTTTTTCTTTATATATTTCTTTTTTTTTCGATTCATCAAATTTGTTATGATTTTTTTTTTCAAATCTCTTTTTAATGTTGTTATTTTTTTCTTTTAATCTTCGATCTGAAGAATGTATTTCTATATTTTCTTTTTTTTGAATATTATTTAATACACTCATTTTTTCATTTACATTATTTGTTACATTTAAATGATTTTTAGATTTAACTTTTTTTTGATTCTCTTTTTTTTTCTTTTCATCCATATTGATACTGTTAAGTTGATTGTTATCCTTTTTTAACATAACTTTATTAATTAAATTATCATTTTGTTCTTTATTTTTTAAATCACTTATTATTTTTTTCTCATCATCAATGTTAAGTTTTTTATTCTCTGCATACGTATTTTTTTTAATTTTATCTTTTTTTTTTGATTTTTCATTCAATAACCTTTTTTCGTCATCCGAAAAACCCCATATTTTATCCATGTATTTTTGTAATTTTATTTCATTATTTGAAGTCTTCTCTTTAAGCTTTTTCATTATATAATAAAATTAATCTCATAAATAAATAAGATATAACATATTAAATTCAAAAATTTTTACAAATAAAATTATTTTCAATATTTCTTACATCATTATTATACAAATTGTATTTAAAAAAAATTTTTTTTTTTTTTTTTTTTTTTTTTTTTTTTTTTTTTTTTTTATTTTTTACCTATAAGAAAGTAAAATACTAAAACTTTTTTACAAATTAATAAATTATAAAATATATTTATATATATTGTATAAATAAATAAAAGGAATAAATTTAAAATTAAAAAATATTAAAAAAATTTTTAATTTTCATTTAGAAAAAAAAAAAAAAAAAACTAAATATAATAAAATTTAGTATTTTGTTTTAAAACATTATATATAATAGTTAATACATTTATAAAATTATATTAAAAATATAATTTTTTTTTATTTTTTTTTCTAATCATAAAATTTGTTAATATTTATAAATATATTTAATAACAATGGCTACAACAAATAAGAAATTACAAAAAATTATGACCCAACCTATAGTAATATTTTATTAAAATTGAAATTCTTCATTAATAGAAAGAAATCATTTTTCATTTATTTATTATTATTTTTTTTTTTTTAATTGTAGAATCAAATTTTTAGGTTTTTTACGAATAAAACAGTTGTACAAATATGGCTTTATGATAAGCCAGACATAAGAATTGAAGGAAAAATATTGGTAATAATATATTCATTATAATTTTATAAGTTATTTAATATTATTTTATATAAATAGAAAGAGAAGAAAAATAAATAAAATAAAAAAAAATAATATTTTTTTATTTCAGGGTTTTGATGAATATATGAATATGGTTTTAGATGAATCTGAAGAAATTTTAGTAAAAAAAAATTCAAGGAAACAATTGGGAAAAATTTTATTAAAAGGAGACACAATAACACTAATAATGGAAGCGTAATAAATATAAATTTTTTACACAAAATTTTTTTTTTTTTTTTATATGTTCATTCTTATTTGCATGTGTCTTTTTAGTTAAAATATATACTAAATTTTCATTTTTTTTTTTTTTTTTTTTTATTGATACTTTATTTTATATTTTTACACTTACAACTTAATTTATTCCTAATATTTTCTTTTTTTTATTTTTTATATGTTCTTATTAAACTTTTTTTTTTTTTTTTTTTATTTAAATAAAATATGTTAAATCATTCCTATTTAATATTCCATTCATTATTTAAATCTGTGACAATTTATTATTTTATTTTTTTTTTTTTTATTTTTTGCAGACATAAAGGAGAACAAAATTAAAAAGATTTTATTTATAGATTTTTGTTATTTTTCTTCTTTTTTATTAATTTTAAATTATATACACTTAAATTTTTTAAAAATATATTTTTTTTTAAAATTACATTAAAAAAAAAAAAAAATAATAATAAATATGTCTTCTCATTCTATAACATATGATTTTCTATTTTTTTTTTTTTTTATTTTATTTTTTTTAAATGATATTTTTTTTTTTAATTGCATACTAGTATCTGTAGTAGGAAGAATGTTGCAATATTTAATTTTAATTTTTTTTTTTTTTTTTTTTTATAATTTTAAAAAAAAAAAAAAAAAAAAAAAAAAA